GATAAAGAAAATGTGGTTTTTTTATAAAATGGAGTACTACTCAGCCATAAAAAATGAGAAATTAGAGACATTTATAGCTAAATGGATGCATATTGTGCCAATACTCTTAAGTGAAATAAACAGGACACACATGTAAATACGGGATAGTATCTCTAGTGTGAGAAACTGAAAGTGTAAATAGGGACTAAAAGTTATAATAGAAAATGTGAAATAGGAAGAAAAGGCACAAAGGGGAAGGGGAAGTAGGAGGGGTAGAGGGAATGGAATTAATATGAGAAAATGGAAAAATGGAAACAAAGTCTTTGTATATAGGGAGGGATGGAGGGGTGGAAGGGAGGACAGGGGAAGGGGGGAAAGTAAGAACCAAGAGAGATTGTGTAAAGGTTCAAATTTCCAATGATGAAAGTCATTATATTGTATACCTAAAATGTACCAATGATTAAAATGAATAATTGATAATGTGAAATAGGAAGAAAAGGTCCAAAGGGGTAGGGGAAGTGAGAGGGATAGGGGAAAGAAAAGAAGAGAAAGGAAAAATTATGAGAAATGGAAAAAATGGAAATAAAGTCTTTGTAAATAGGGAAGGGTGGAGGGGTAAAGGAAGTGCAGGGAATGGGGAAAAAATAAGAACCAAGATACATCATATAAAGGTACAAGTTCCCAGTGAGAAATGTAAATGTATTGTATACCTAAAATGTACCAATAAAAGAATTTTTTAAAAAAGATACCTAATGTATTAATATTCGTGTTAGGAAAAATGCAGATGTTAACAAAAACATCACATTTATACACAATGGAGTCCAGTAGTACTTCAGTTCACGAACTTAATTCATTCCACGATTCTGGGGAATATGGCTGCATTTGTCATGCGGTTTGTCATAAGATGCTGAGTTTGTGAAGAGAAGCAAAAGTTTGCCTAACACATCTCTTTTCCCATCAAATTATTCAGTTACAAAAATGTTTGTGAACAGAAGCATTCATTAATGAAGGAATTACTGTATTACTCTGCATAAAGAAGGATAAACTTGAGGCACTTGTAGGTAAATAGATGCACTTCAAGACCATAGTGTTAAATAAAATAAAACAGATGTGCAAGTTTAAATGTCAGGTATTCTCTTACAGGAGAAACCCAAAATATAAATAAAAAGCAAAATAAAGAGTAGATAATAGGAAGTAGGGAGTTGTTTTTTTTTTTAAAGGGGAAGGGGAACAAGAGATGTAGGGAGAGAGGGAAGGAAGGGCAAATAGATTTTAAAAGAGAACCAAAGAAAAAAGTGTAAATCAAGTCTTTTCAAGTGGGAAGGAAATTAAAAGTTAGGGGGAGCAGGGAGGGAGAGAAGGGGAAAGGGGCAAAAAAATTAAGATGTTTTATGTACATGTACAAACTCCCTATGATAAATGTAATCATCATGTACTGCAAACATATACTAATAAAAATACATTAATAAAATAGAAAAAGAAAAAAGGCATAATTAGAGGAAAATAAGTGTTGTTACTCAATGCTAATGGAAAAACTTCATTTAATATAATAGTATTCATCCTGTATATTCCTAAAATCTTAGCTTAAAATATACAAAACAATACTGGATAGCATTATAAGGAATCAGTGAATTTACAGTTTCTAACCTCTCTTAAATTTTTCTTTAGAGTTTACCTTATTTTAAAAAAAAGAATTGACACAAAAATTTAAAAAGAAATAGAAGAGTTCAATAACACAATAATAATCAAATAAACATAATCAAAAATAAAGACTATACATTGTTTTCAAGTTTGAAACATTTACAAATTTGATCACTTAATAGGTCTCAAAGAAAATCTCAAAAATACTTATATAATCTCTCTTGTAGAACACATTCACTGAATAAAATGTAATAGCATGCAAAATCAAATCTCAAAATAAAACTGACTAAAATTAGTAATCATTTGATAGGTGTAGAAGAATTCACACTATTCTATGATGCTTTCTGTGATAACAGTTATGATCTGTGCCATCTGAGTCAGGTATTTTCTTATATTTTAATGATATACATATGAGGCTTATTTTCTCACTGGACAATAAATATACTTTGTCTAAATGTCATGCCTTGCAAGCTATAGGTGCACATTAAGTGTCTGTAGAATACATTACTCATAAATTTGGGGAAAAGGATAAACATGAACATCATTAGAAGGGAGAATAGCATCAGTATCGTTGCCTAATTTTTAGTAATATTATCTTTGATTATGACATTTAATGACAGTATGGAAGTTATCCTGAATTTCTAAGCCTGACTTCAAGGCAATTCTCTCTTTAAAATGTTTGTTAACCTCTTTTATTTCTTGTCTTTTCACTTTAACCTGCCAATGTGAGCAGTTACTTTAGCACGTTTTGTCTAGTTCAATCAGTTTCACTAATCTTGATTTTTACCGATTTTGAATCAACCACAAGGGTAGTGTCAACTTTCAAAAAATATAGTAAATGTTTTGCTGCTAGAAGTACCATTCAGACTGTACATTTAAAAGCATTAACTATAATAAATAACTGTTGGTTTAATAAATATCAAAATATCATTAAGCACCGTAAATACCTTAATGATTATTTAAGGGAAAATTGTGTGAACCACACACTGCGGAATTCATACTATGCTGCTAAAGATTAAGTGGTCTTCTTTTCCTGATCTTTAATCTCAAGATAATATCCAAATATATTTTGCAGGATTCTGTGTGTGTGGGAGGGTGGTGCATAATAAAAAGGCATATAGAAATACTGTTATCTAAATCATTGATCTAACAGCTCTAAGACCATGTAAAACAACCATGTCTGTGTTATTATTAAGTTTAAGCTTAAATTACCTGTTTATTAGTGTAGAAAGTAGAGTGGTTACTACAAAAGGAAATAAAAGTAATGTAAAAAGTGAAAACTGCTTTACGGTATTTGGTAGAAATAAATACCATAAATCAGAGTGAATTGTGTTGGAGATAATAAATTCATTTTCTACTTTAACTATTACATGGTATCCAAAATGAACCAATCAGTCTTTGCCAAAATACTTTGTGCCCTCTTGCTGTAAGCCTTTGATACAATGTAATGCAGTAGAAAAAAGCAAAGAATTTAGAAAGACAGGATATTGATGTGAATGCTAACTCTGACACTTACTGGCTACATCATTTGCTAAATCACTTGGCCATTCCAATATTTAACAAGAATCTGGTATAAAGTAATACTTCAATATATTCTGCATAAATGAGTTTTCTTTCAACATTTATGATATTAAAAATAACTACCTTTAAGTATTTGTGGAAGATGAAATCAACATAGAAGTATTCAACTGTGCTTGCCAATTAGTTGTTCAATCATTAAAATGAGGCACAGGTCCAAACTCTTTCCTTTTTGTTTAAAGCATACAACTGAGGGAACTTAGCATTTTAGTGATTGGTCTTTGGATAGTATATTAGATTACTAAAACAGCTGTAACAAATTACTACAAATTTGATAAAGCAACAGAACTGTATTATCCTATAGATCTGTAGGATAGAAATGTCTCTTATGAGGACATTCATTAAATTTCAGGGACCACATAATCCAGATCATATTGTTTCAACATTCTCACCATAGTTATATCCACGGAGACTCTTACTCCAAATGAGGGCATGTTCTGGGTTTCCAAGTGGGCATATTTTTGGAGGCCATTGTTCAATTCACAGAAAGTAGGTATTGTAATCTTATCTATCCCATCCCTTCTATTCATCTCCCTATATAAAATAGGTTGTTCTCTTACGTTGTCCAGCCCAGTGTCCAGTGTAAGGGCCACAACTAACAACACCTGAGAGCTTTTCAGAAGTGCAAGTTCTTATGCCCACCTAGGACAATGGGTAAGCCCAGGAATATGGGTTTAAATAAGCTCTTTAGGTGACTCTCAAGCAAACTAAAGTTTATGAAGTACTGGTCTAAGTTCTTCCCAATAAGCCACACAAATATGATACTGATTTTAAATACTGATTTTAAAGAAATCAACAATAAATTTTGACTTTTCTTGCTCAATATAAAAAACAAGGAGGTGTGTATATATATATATATTTATATATATATTTATATACATATATAAATATATATACACATACACATGTACAGAGAGCATACATTACTTACTGTAAAAGAAAAATATATGTATTTAATGATAATTAAGACTACTGACTGGAATGGAAAATGGTAGCACTGCTTTTGGTTACAAACATCAGAAAATCCTTAAGAATTGCTTACACCACGTTTATATATTTTGACTTGACATTGTCCTTTTCCTTAATCTAAAAAATACAAATTTGTTATTCAAATTTCTATCCTATATCATATTAATGACCATTATGGATTAGTAATATTATTTTTTATCTTAATGGAACAGAGTGAGAAAGGTGATGGTGAGTGAGAAATATTTAAAACTTTAGAAAAATAATAATTTACTTTGTACCTTGATGTTAGAGACACTACCCATGCGTATCTAGATCAGAGAGAAAACATGCATTTGTAATGAATACAGTCAACAGGATAAATTAAAGAATACTGTACACACAACCCTTAGTGCCAAATAACAAAGGACAACACCTGCAAGCTATTGTTTGGGTGATAACAGTGACTCAAGTTGAAGAGACTATTGTTTCTTAACAAAAGAGCAATCATACTTTGTGAAATTCTCTTTATTGTTTTCTGACTCAATTTTTAAATACAGATGAGAAAACGAGGAGTTATAGTTGAAAAGTTTTGAATTTTTGGATTTTGGCACTAAATTATTAAGTATAGTTATCCCCTAATATCTGTAGTATATTGTTCCACATTCCCCCATGGGACACCAAAATCCATAGAGGCTCAAGTCTCTTGTATAACATGGTGAAATATTTGGTATATAAACTATACATATCCTTCTGTACACTTTACATCACCTCTAGATTACTTATAATATTGTATACAATATAAATGATATGGAAATGGTTGTTATAGTATGTTTTTATAGGAATAATGATGAGGAAAAAACCCTGTATATGCTCAGTATAGTAAATTAAAAAACACTTTCTATCTATGATTTGTTAAAGCATGGACACAAAACCTATGGATACAGAGGGTCAACTGTACTTTTTAAAATTATATTTTAAATTAATTATATTGGTACATTTTAGGTATAAAATATAATGACATTCATCACTGGAAATTTGTATCTTTACGTAATTGATCTTGGTTCTTATTTTTTTCCCATTCCCCTGCCCTCCATTCAAACCCTCCAGCCCTCCCTATTTACAAAGACTTTGGTTCCATTTTTTTCTTTTTCTCATATTAATTACTTTCCTTTATTTCCTTTCTCCTACCCTTCACACTTCCCCTTCCCCTTTGCCCCTTTTCTTCCTATTTCACATTTTCTGTTATACCTTTTAGTACTTATTTACTCTTTCAGTTTCTCACACTAGAGAAACTATTCAGTATTTACATGTTTGTCCTATTTATTTCATTTAAGAGTATCAGTTCAATGTGCATCCATTTAGCTGTAAATGTCTCTAACTGCTCATTTTTTATGGCTGAGTAGTACTCCATTTTATTTTTTTAAAAAAACCCACATTTTCTTTATCCAGTCTCCAGTTGATGGGTAACTGTGCTGTTTCCAAGTTTTAGCTATTACAAATTGTGTTGCTATAAACATGGGTACACATATATTGTTGTGGTTTTATTCTTTAAATTCTTTTGGGAAGATACCCAGCAGGGGGAATAGCTGGGTCAAATGGTACCTCCAATCCTAGTTCTTTGAGGTAT